GGTCCCGGACTCAACTTTTTGATTTGGATTCGTCTCTCCTTTTCCTATTGATTCTACACGTGCATTCCAATGCACTTCAGAACAGGGAGGTAGCATGCCTGGTGGATTTCTTTACGCTGTCTATACAGAACTCTTATCTTGCCAGATCTCTTGTGTAAGTAGAACTGGCAGGTTATACGTCATGCTTGATCATGTAAAGAGAACACATTTTGGCTAAAATTGGTATGGCTTCTTTCACTTCTAGAAGACATAGTAACTATTTTTCTGTTTATATTTATTTATTTTCTACTTTAAGTGATATGGACATACAAATTTCAAACTGCTTACACTTACTTCAAGAACAAAAACAGAATAATAGACATTAATAAAAATGACAATCAAAACAGTAATGCTAAAAAGAATATCCTCTTCTCATAGCACTAAAATTCTCCAAAAGAACTGACTTAATAGTTCTTTTGTTTTTGGTTTTTTTTGGTACCGGGGATTGAACTCAGGACCTTGGACTTATGAGGCAGGTGGTGGAACCACTGAGCTAAATTCCCAGCCCACCTGACTGAATAGTTTTAAAATAGCCATTCAGTAAGCAGCATGAAAGGATATTGAAACAATCAACAGAAAACAAGTTAGAAAATGGTGTGGCAGAGACTCTTCCACCTTAGAACTTTCAAGCCTTAGACTGCCAGGTGGCTTCCTGATACACTCCTCAGCATTATGTGTAACTAATTTTGTCCATGGAACTGATTTTTGGCCAACAGATCACAATAAGTGAGTAGAATGACATATTTGGGGTGCACAAACTCACTATGTCCTTCCTTTCTCTCTGCTGCTGGTCAGTGTAGAGTTGGACAACCACTGAGACTCCTTGTGGGAAGGCACATGCCAAAGATGGCACAGCTGTCCTGTTCCACCAGGCTTGGACCACCACCACTGGGTTGTCAACTGAAGAAGGACAAAAAAAACCTTGTCTTGAATAGAAGTGTACCAGTTAACTTTCAGGTCAAAAATCAGAAGCACTCTAGATCTTAACAGCAAAAGAAATTTCACATACAGAACAAGATGCTCCAAAATCAGAGGAAGAGACAAGGCCCATAACTGAACGTCCAAAAGTACTCTCAGAATGTTATAGAAGATGCCGTAGTAAGGATAAAGTTCAGGACATGACAACAGAGCTGTGATTCCATGGTTGGTGGTTGGAGACACAATTTTCATGCAAGCCCAGAAGCTGAGGAGCAGCAAGGCCCTTCCAAGACCACTTGCCAGCAAAGAACAGCATGGCAGAAAGACAGCTCCTTCTCTCCTGTCTTCTACCTCGTGCAAGCACATTCAACTGTAAATGCTAATTCCCAAACTTCCAGGACTCCAAGAAACAAGGAGACTCATTCTCAGGTTTCTAGGTAACACAGACTGGACAAAAGGGAAGATTCCAGCTGAACACACTAGTTCATCACAGTGGGGTTATCCCTGCAGTACAGACTACACAGGAACCTACAACAATTTATGTTCAAGTTAATTAAGTCAATTTAGTTTACAGAAAGAGAAATAAACTGTATAATAACTTGAGGCTTATGAACATACTACCAAAGTATTTAATAAGCAGCCAAAAGACTAACAGGTAAGGCAAGAATCATTCATTTAAATATATGGCCACAGCAATTTTCAGACAATGAAACTTTCCTACCACAGACTACCTTTTGATACAGGAAAATAAAGAACAAGCTAGCAACAATCCTCATTTCTATATGCACATAAACATTTAGAAGAGTGCATTTGGTATATTAGACATCAAATGACTGAATAATGGCACAATAATGAGAATGTCATTTGAAGCTTTTCACGATAATTTAAAAATCATTCTGAAGTTTTCAATAATGTAAGAAAGCCTCTGCTATTAGGTCAAGGGCAGCATTTGTTCGCATTACTTAAAGGTCATTAAAATACATCCTTAATCATAACATGTGGTTCATTACAAATAAAATTGCCTTTCGTTCAATAAAACTAATTAAATGTAAATGGTATTGTTTACTGCTACATGGATCTTTTGAAATAAATCAGCAAGTCATGATTTATTGAAAATTACTAGGGCCTCATTGTTAATAAATGTGCTTGATCACAAAAGCCTGAAACATATTTCCCCAATGTCTACGGTGCCTGAAAACTGTGCCCTCCAGACGGCAACGAGAAACAGCATCTGCATTGTAGGACTTGCAGTGCAGCTATTATCACTCAGCTCCCTGAAATTTTAATTCTCTGACCGTATTAAGTGTCTTGAGAATGCAGTAACTAGCAGAAGTTACTCTGCAGTGCTGTCCTTGGGTCTTCAGGAAACACTCCAGTGCCAGGATACTTACTCAGGAGTGTCATGATGGCATGAGCTGACATGACACAAATGGCAATATGACACAAAATATCACCAAACCGATAAGAAGAGAAACACAGGAATTCAAATAGAAGTGACAATTATGGCCAGCATAAGTTATAAAATCCCAGACAGAACTGTATTCCCTGTGTCCACAATAAATTCAGAGTTTTCATTTCTATAAAAAAACTATATATAATGGGTCTAATTTTATGATGGTAAAAATTTAAATTGATTACTAAATCAGAAATTCAGTTAAGCTTTAGTCACTCAAATACTTCATTATATTTCTTATCAAAGTATACTTCCCATAAAAAATTTAAAGCCACATTATACAGAATGTATACCTAAATATTCTAAAATATGTATTTACATATATGTGTGCCACTAACAAAAATGAAGATGATATCCTTCTAATTTTGAATAAAACATGACTTCCTATTATTACTGCAGAAATTACTCAGTTATAGATAACAGTACACTAGAACTTTAACAATGTATAATTTACATGCAATAAGCTGTAAGTACTTAAAGTGTAAAATTTTATTTTGATATACATGTCTATTACCATCACCACAGTTATCAAATATTTCATCACCTCGAAAAGTATCCCTGACTACCTTACAGAGCCCAAAATTAAAATCTATCACAAAATTATCATTTACTGTGGCCATTCCCAAGTTGCTTACCAATAGTGCACCCCAAGATTCCTGGGAGAATTGGTAGGAAGAAAGAACAGAGGGTGGGGCTATCACACAAGTATGATACCAAATAAAATCTTTGGTCTCTCTCTCTTTCTCTCTCTCTGGAAAGATTACCTAAGAATGTATAGCAGCAAAAGAAATGAAGGACACAAGCAGGAAATATGTAAAGCAGAAAAAAACAGCACTAACCCAACAATCAGTTCAATTTATATCAAAAAGTCAGTAGGCTGTACAGCAAATACGATGGCAGCCAATGTCTTCACTTTACGACTTACATATTATTTTCAAAGCATATATTACTATTAGAGTCAGGTAAAATATAAGACTTTCTCTCCTTTTTGGAAGAATGTATGCTGAGAGAGAGCTGAGAAGCTATAACAGCAGGAAGAGGGCAGGTACCAGGCCTCTTTCATTAGTATCTTTACCTGGTGAATGCTGCTGCTAACTATCATGTAACAGAAAGGCAGATTCATAAAATCATAAGGGTGTAGGCTCATCTCTCTTATTTATTATTTACCCCATCTGGCACTGTGTGACTTCTGGCTCTTCACCAAAGTCAAAATGATCACAAAGGTTAGATGTTTTGAATCCATTCAGGACATCCAGGCAGCTATGAAGCATAACTAAAACCACAAACAAGAACTTCTAGAAATTCTTCAGAAAGTGGCAAGAATCTTGGAATGTGTTCAAACAATGGGAATATTCTGAAGAACATTGGTGGCCAATGTGTCTTTTATTATAACCATTTCAAAATTTAAACATTCACCACACTTTTGGTCATGTCTTGTATTTTCCCAATTTTAAAAAAGAAGAGATGATTACAGTGACAATGAGACCACACATGTGTTGATGAATAAACAGTCGAGGAAGGAAGAGAAAACTCATCTGGGTCTCACTTGTTTTGGAAAACATACAAAATACATAAAGAATGAATTTTAATCTAGGAACTACCTAAAATACAGGAAAAAGTAAAATACCCGTGTAACAAAATATCTCTCAGCCCTATGCATGTCAACATGTTTTCAAGGAAATCACCATAAAGAACAAGAAGGTTCTCATTTCCATGGTAATTATAAATTATATTCAGGACACGCTGCTGTACCTAACCTCACACAACTAGGCTAAGGAAAGGACTGAAGCTATAGTATCGAAGTTCCCTCTCTCAGCCAACACCTGCTTTTGGGTCAAAGGTCACCCTGAAACAATCTTAATCTTTCTCTTCTCTCCACAGAATATCAAGAAATCCTGTAGAACATATCTTCTTGCATTCAGAACAGTGTTATATATGAACTAACACAAAAAGAAAAATGTGCATCAGTTTGGGATATTCATACATTTGTGAGAGAAATTCTGAGATCACTGGAAATACAGAATGAACCATGACCTTGGTTCTCGCTAACCCATCCTGAACCTTTCCAAAGTACAAGCGAATACTCAGTAAAGTTCAAGCCAGAGTTTCCTGCTGGTTCAAGAGACACAGCAGCACTTACTTCCTCTGATCACAGAAGTTTTCTATGCTTCAGGAGAAAAAGTTTAGGCTGACTTCAAAGGCAAGGCTAACTCAGTGTCTGAATTCGTCTCCCAGAGCAATACTTGACTAGTTATTAGGGAGTAAATCAGTCAGCAACAATGGACTCCCATGATCCCCACCAAAAGTCCTCAACGTCAACATTATTTAACTGAGAAAGTAAAAAAAGACAAGACAGAAAACTTTAAGTGTTAAATAACAGGAACACCCAAACTACTTAAAGCAAGTTATATATTAAGAAATCACAAAAATTATATTGGCATCATTTTTAGTGACTCTTCATTAGGTATAAAGGAATGATAAAATAAATTCTCAATGCACTATATAAGTTAGCTGGTACAAGCAGAAATGCCTTTCTTCCCTAGACAGTACAACTAAAGTAAAAGGATTGTATAGTCCCCATGATGCTCACCCCCAGAGCTGGCAGCCGTTGTGTGCAGCTCACTGCCACCTTTAACTTCCAGTCAGTCTCACCATCAAGCTGGTCTGTTCGAATAAAACATGAACCTAGAAGGTACAGGAGAAAAGGTTACCACTCTTGAAATACATTATAGAAGATTATTCCTTGTTTTAGTTACTTTTCTCTCATTGCTGAGACAAACTACTCAACACCCAAAGTTAAAGGGGAAAGGTTTATTTAGCTCACACTTTGTAGAGATTTCAGTCCATAATCAGCTGGCTCCAAGTCAGAGTGGCTGGCACATGGCAGAGGGGCAACAGTTCATGGCAGCAGAACACAGCCAAAGCAGTAAGGGAACATAACAGTCTTTCTGCCTCTTTTATCTCATTCAGATGACATAGGGTAGGTAGCACTCACACCCTTAATCCTAGTGCACTCAAATCTAGCACTGCACCATGAATCAATCACACACTCTAGATTCAGCCACCTCTGAAAAAGCCCCACCAATGACTGCATGAGGCTTTGGGGGGGACATCTAGACACAAGTTATAACACTCCTGATTTACAGGTGCAGTCAAAGCACTGATCAGGGTACAGTAGGACCCAGAAACAATATATTTAGACAGTTCCAAGAACAAAATCCTTTAAAGTCTTCATTTTAAATGACAGTATTTGAGTCAAAAAACAAGTCTGTAAAAAGATACAAGTCATTAAATTTTTTAATCACTCTTTTCTTGTTCAATGTTCTTGGCTATTAGGGTTTAATATTAACCGTGATGTTATTTTAGAAAGACTAAATTGATCATATCTACCTTTACTCTATACATACTTTGATAATGAAATAAGATATACACAAAAATCCCTCAGTATATAAACCTAGCTAATAAAATGTTACATTTACCACCATAAAATATATGTTCAGTAATAGAAGCACAGTTAACATGCTAGTATCTAGGTAAGTGCTATTACTCATAACCATATTAAATTTTAAATATGAAAAAACATCAAATTTTCCCTCAGACTACAACATGCCACTTCTCAGAACCTTCCTTATAGATAGAACAGCAAAAACATAAGATAACATGAACACGGGAGTATTAATTGCAACACTTTTTTACAGTAACAAGATCAGGGACATTTAGAGAGCTGGCTGAAACAGAACATATAGAGAAATTTTTAAAAGGAAGAAACAAAAAACAAAGGAAGACATCAACATAGCTATTATGGAAAGACTGATAGGACACACTGTTAAATGAAGAAAAGTGCAGAACACTGTATACAGAATAATACAGTTAAGGAGAATGTATGAGTAAATATCTGTGTGTGGCTATCTGTACACATGTAGTAACTACATGTGTACATATCTGTGGGTACATGGCTGTGTGCATGAATATCTATGTGCCCAGAGATTTGATTATGTGTGCATGTACACTTGCATGTGTTTAGAGGAATGTGTCCATGTATGTGTACCTGTGTATCTCCATACTGTGTACACAAGTGTGTGCCCACATCTTTGTGTGTATGTAGCTCTGCCTATATGCAAGCCTTCCTGTATGTATATGCATGTGTGCATATACCTATACAAGGAGGAAAGGAACAAAAAAAGGGACTGATTAGGCAGACCTTGCTGATTCCATCTTACTTTATACTATTCACTTGGAAATCATGTATGTTTTACATAAGTGAAAAAACAGGCTACATCAAACATTTTTATTTTAGTATCAAGGACTACACCTAGGGCCTCATGCATACTAGTCAAGTGCTTTCCCAGTGAACTACATCTCTAGCCTTTTTAAATTGTATTTTCAGTCAGAGTCCCACTAAGTTGCCCAGGCTGGCCTCAAACTTGCAAACCTCCTGCCTCAGCCTCCTGAACACCTAGGATTATGTGCATGCACCACCATACTCAGCAATCCAAATTTTTAAAAAGCAATTCCTAAAAAATAAAAGCATGAGACACATAATTCATAGCTTAATCACAAAAAGAATTCATTTAAGTGATGTTAGAGGTTCTTAAACGTTTTAATTATAGAATAAAAGTTACAGAAAGTATATAAGCCTTGTTGTTACATCCTATGAATTCTTAAAAATCAAATACCCTGTGAATAGCTGTAAGGTCCCTTAGGAGAGCCACTACATGCCCCAGTGCATTTGTCCCCCACTCCTGAAGGAACACTATGGAATCTTCCACTTGCTGTTTGTGCTTTAGGACTTAACACCTACTTGCATAACCTTGCTGACTCTCAATGTGTCATCAAAGTCACTGTTAATCTCTAAGTCCTTTCCTTGCCAATTAATCTGCTGAAAGGCTGGGTGTGCACTGGGCTGAGTGAACATTCATAGACTCCTTCTCTAATATGAGAGACCAAAATATAAATAACAAAATAAAAGATAATAGCAAGCAGGGTGATAGATCTTTTATAAATGGGAAAGGGATCAAGAGATGGGGTAGAGATAGAGGAGGAAAAAAGGATTGAGATGCGTGACATACATGTACCAACTCCCCACAAGGAATGTGATCATTATGTACTATAAACACATATTAATAAAAAATAAAAACTGAACAAGAAATTGTAAATGTAAGAGTTCATAAATTTATTTTGAAATAGTCTTTACCTTTATTAAGAACCTAACTTAAGCTAACATATTCTTTTGTTGTTGTTGCTGCTGGAAACTGACAAATTATGACTATATATTTATAGGGTATAAAATGGAGTTATGTATTACAAATACAGTGTGATAGGCTGGGTGTGGGTATAGTGGTGCATGTCTGTAATCCCAGCACTTAGGAGGCCGAGGGAGGAGGATCCCTGGCAGTTCAAGGCCAGCCAGGACTACATAGTGAGTTCAAGGACAGCCTGAACTACATAGCAAGACCCTGACTCAAAAAACCAAAAATAAGGTCCCGAGTTCAATCCCTGGTACAAAAAAAAAAATTAATAATTAATAATTACTTGTGTTTTGGTGTGAGACCATTTGAAATTTACTCTTAGCAGTTCTGAATTATGGAATACATTTTTATTAACTATAATAAATCTCCCCCAAAAGAAAAGGAAAAAACGCTTTCCTCCTGTCTGAGACTCTGTACCCCTGACCAACACCTTCCCATTTCTCACCCCAGGACTCTGGTGACTACCACTCTATCTGTGAATCTGGCAAATTCACTGTTTTAGATTCCACATGTAAGTGAGAACATGCAAAGTTGTCTTTCTGTGTCTGGTTTATTTCACTTGCATAATGTGTTTCAGGTTCACCATGTTGCCACAAGTGACCACATTTTCTTCTTTTTGAATGCTGAACAGTATTCAGGTATATAACCCCATTATACCACATTGTCTTCACCCATTCATCTGTGATGGACACTTAGTCTGATTCCACATCTTGGCTACTGTGAAGAGTGGTGCAATGAACACAGGTTTCCAGATATCCCTTCAACATACTGATTTCAAGTCTTTCTGGGTAGGATTGCTGCATCATATAGAAATTCTATTTTTAGTTTTTCTAGCATATTGTTCTCAAAATAGGCAAACAAAGGACAGTATCAATAATTTGTCCTGTTTTTCTTTAAATTTCACAGTAACCAAAGAGCTGATAGGAAAACATGTTTTATTCTTAGTGTATGTGTATGTGCTACAGGGATTGAACCAGGGCCTTTTCACTGAGCTACATCCCCAGTCCCTTTATTATTATTTTTTTGTATTCTGAGACAATGTCTTGCTATGTAGCTAAGTCGCCTGGGCTGGGCTTAAACTTGCAATTCTCCTGTATCAGCCTACCAGAGTGCTGGGATTATAGGCATGCACCACTAAACCCAGCAAGAAAAGATCTTCTTAATATGAGAATATCAGCTGTAAATACAAAAGGAATAACAGAACTAAAATGTAACCAATTTTCAACATCTAATGAAACAATGAATTGCCAGCCGGAAAGTTGATGAGTACTTTATACTGGCCAGATCAGCTGGCAACACCTCAGTCCACTTGTGACTCCACCCTCTGAACTGGGGGTTATATATACAGACATTACATGCCTATAAAGTTAAGCGACAGGAATTACACAGCAGTGTTGATGCAACATTCTTTAACTAAAAAAAAAAAAAAAAGGAAAACAAGAATGAAGACTGAAAATGAGTATGAACAAGTTTTTAAATCTTACTACCAGTTAATGGAAATACAGGAAATAAAGGAAACATGTTAACACTAAAGCTATACAATCAGGCAAATCTAGAATATGAGGAATTGTGTATGTCAAATGACTCTTCAATTAGTAAAAAATAAGAGAAGAAATTGTTTAGGTAAAAACAGACTAAGAGACATACTTGCCAAGTATAATGGGACAGACTTTAGGCTCTGATTTGAATAGACCAAATGTAATAAATAACTGATGTGATCAGAAAGTTGGAAAACTGACCAAGATACAAAATAAGGAATTTTGTTAAATGTTTTATGGTATGACAATGGCATTATGGTTCTGATTTTTAACACAGTCATAATAATGAGATTTATGATTCACTGGAGAAGAGGAAGAATGAGATGAAACAAGACCAGACATATTATGACCATTGTCATGATGATAATGGCTATACACAGCAGTTCACTATATTATGTTTCATTAACTAAGTTTAAATTTTTCTATACAGTAAGAAAAAAATTAAAATCCTCCAGGAAACAGAACAAAAGAAATTACCCAATATAAACAACAGAGAGAAACTAAAATGAATTAACAGATCCTCAAGAACCTGTGGAACAATAAAAAGAGAACCAACATTCATGTCATTAGAGAACTAGAGGAAAGAAGGATAAAAAGTACTTCAAGATGAAAAGTCTGAGGATTTCTCAAACTGCAGAAACTAAGTGAACTCCGAAAAGGTAAGCCTAAAGAAATACATGCCAAGACTCCAAAATCAGTGAAGAAAAAATCCTGGAGCAGAAAAAGAAATAACACTTCACTAGAGAAGAAAAACAGTAAGAATAGCTGGAGATTTCTCATGAGAAAGTAAGAAACCGGAAAATCAACATTCTTCCAATTCTGAAAGAAAAGAGCTGTCAAATGAGAATTCTGGATCCAGTGAACATGGCCTTCAGGAATGAAAAGAAAATGCCAAAGA